TGCCTGCAATGGGAAGCAGTGAATGAATCCCTTGTTTTGCTCTGCTTGCATGTGCAGCTTTTGCTTTTCCTATTAAACTGTGTTCATCTCAACCCATGTGTTTTCTCATTTTTACCCTTCTGATGCTTTTCCCCACCCCACCAGGGTGGGGGGAGTGAGTGGCTGCATGGGGCTGCGTTGCCAGCTGGGGTTAAACCAGGAGATCACTTTACAAAATATTGTTGCAAGGCAGGATGTATGGGACTTTTACATCACTAAGACTTTCAATTTACTTCTCCCTATATTCCTCCCCTTTTGGCTTGCTTTGGCTGTATGTATTGTATTTTGCTCATCTTTGTAGAAGAGTGCTTTTCAGGGCTAGCCTCTACATTATTGTGATGTCCTTCAAGATACTCTCTGCCTTCCTTTGTTTTCTTATGAACTGCTCCGCAAACAGCTGAGAGATCTTAAAGTGTCTCTTAAAACATGACACTTGAATTCTGGTTAAGCTTGCCAAGATTCCTGTGTTAACAACCCTGTTTTATTCAGGTAGGTGCAGATTCTTCCATGCCCCCGCCCCTTACACACTATTTATTTAGTTCTTTTATGCAGATTCCTGTACCTTTCACAATGGATTGTGACTCACTTCAAACCCTCTTTCTTTTTCCTTCCCCCTCTCCACACCACGGCTGACAATATTTACTCAGTTTCTTTAGAACCTCTGAAGAGCATGAATTCTAATGTTTGAAGTTGGATCATTTTTGATTAATTAAATACATATTATGGTGGTGCCAGCAGCATGACTATAATTAAAGCCGTATTGGAATTTTTTTAATCAAAAGCTCTGATTTTCAAGTGTTTGCTCACTCCTATATGTGCTTCTCCCTCCCTCCCTTCCCCTCTCCTCGTCTTTCCTCTCCCCTCCATGTTCGCCTCTGCACACACGCTCACCCACCCATTACCTCTCACACCTGCACTCCCAATTGCTCATGTTCTGTGGCAAATCCTCCTCGCTTGTCAGAAGGGCAGGATGCAAAGGGCATCCCTTCAACAAGCAGCCTGCACCAGCCGCTTGTCTGCTCTCCTCCCATCGCAGCCACAATGCAATCCCGGGAGGGCAAAGCTAAAAGGTGAAGCCACACTATGGAGAAAGGTGTTAATATGAATACATGGGCCAACTCCCCCCATGAAGGCAAGATTCAGATCCCTCAGACCCTTAGACAACATTCCCATGACCCTCCACAGGCAGTAAATCTATAATTCACCGAGTTACAAGACTGAGAAGTCACACACACTAAGATGTGCCATTCTAACGTCTGTGCCATGGTGTTGTGGTGACACACACAGTACTCTAAGCCTATTTCCTTTCTCAAAGTGCTCCAAACAAGTCAAACACAAAGCGCTGAACATGCAGTGCTGCCTTTGACTCAAAGCTACTCCTTCTCTCAACACTGCACAGCTTATGACAACCAACCATTCTGGCTTCTGCAAAATCCAAGCAAAAATCCAGCTGGATTTTTGTTGTTTTGTTTTTTCCCAAGAAACATTTTATAGGGACAGAGAAAACATGTGGCTGATGAAAGCAAGCAGAAAATCCTTGCGCATCCTTAGCATAATCCAAACAGCTCCTGTAAGCACATCCTAGAAACCTCAGCTCTCAAAACACAGCTGCGACTGCAGCATGATCCATGTGAGAGGAGGCTCAGCCAGCCTCACCCGAGCATAAAGCTTTGCTGTTGTGGATGCAGCTGTGGGCCAGAGCCTGTCTCTCTAATGTCTCAGGTCACTTAAGGGACACCATCAGTGTGAAACCAGGCCAAAGATAACAGATTTTTAGAGTAATTTGAAATGCTCTCAGTTGCCCAAACACAAATGAGCAACGTCTTTGTTGTCTCATGCTCCTGTATTTCAGAAAACTTTCCAAAATCTCAATAGCATGATACTAAAGGAAGAGAAGTAGATACACAAACAGAAGACTAACACAGGCCTCAAGTTCACCGATACAGTGACGCCTTTCTGGATGGGAAAACTTCATGGAGTGGAAAGCCCCAAATGTGCTGTCAGTCTGCAACAAGAGGGGGCCGTATTTTTGGAAGAGACAGAAACTAAATAATGACAACAACCAAGAAGTACTTGTTTGCAAATAATCAGCATTTCTTTGGCATTCTATTTAACAGCTTGCCTGTCACTTTGTTACTCAAATACTAAAAGTACTTTCAATATCATCTTTCAAAATGTATAGGTGTCTGAATATTACACTTATGAATCTAAACAGAAGCAACCTTCTAGGCCCAGAGTGTAAGATTTACTTTCATGATGTGAAAACAGCTTCACTATACATTTAGAAATTACTCATTTCTGAGATGCAAGATCTTTACGTACGATCTTCCGTTGTTAATGAACAGAAGCACATAATTGCTGTGTACTTCAGAAGATAAAACAAAGCAGCAGCAGGAGACTCAAGATAGATACTGTAATAATGAATAAATGAATATGCTTAACACTCTCAGAGATTTGCTTTCTTAAAATAACAGTTCTGCAGCTATTACAGTCAACAAACACCACTAATAAAACAATCTCATGAGGTTTAATAAATCCACATTATCAAAACAGTTATCATGAAGGGACAGGTAATGAACAAACCCAGGTTTCCTAAAATCTAAAAGTAGCTGCATGAAGGTAACATTTTATAGCACAGACTGGTAACAGTCTTGAAAAAATCCAAATTAATGCTTCAAAAAGCATTGGCAATATTTTGTTCTATAACTTTGGGTCTAATAAATACCTCTATCTTTTATAAATTTGAATGGGATTTGCAGATCTCATTCTTATTTCTGAAAACCCATAGTGAGCCTTTGACCAAAAGGTAAATGGCCCAATGGCACTGAAGCTGTGGCAAAGGGAGCTGACCAGTTTTGCTCAGCAGAGGAATTTGGCTTCATTCCACAATGCTCTATAAAGAGTGGGGTTTGAGGAGGCTGTATGTGCAGTCTCTTTGATCTCAGAAGTAACTCCAGTGGAATGATTTCTCTCCCACATCTCTTGACTCTAACAGCAATCTGAAAAGTCCATCTCTATACATAAAATTCGAGAGTTAACAGGACATTTTAATAATTTGTGAATAATTTTCATTTCTATAATTTCTTATTCCTGTGGGGGGGAAATGTGTCATCTGCTTTAGCTTTGCCTGCAGCAACATTTTCAACAGGTGGCAGAGATACTGACAACCATAGACAGGAGACTGCAGGTGTACATATATATATATGTGTGTGTGTGTGTGTATATATAAAGTCACATACATTTAAATTTACTTCAATTACAAGCTGACTCATTGAATGATTGAAGCTTCAGCAGTGGACCTGGTAAGCAGTAGTCCATCTAAAGCTAGGTTATATGACATACCTGTGTGAACGAAAGAGAATCTGCCAAAGCTTTATACACTTGAATTTGGAAACACCTTTCCCCTTCAGGATGAGCACCCAGCCCTGTTACCCAAATACAAATCTTCCTGTTAACAGAAATTGATCTGTACCTAGAAGATACTAGGTTTCTGCCAAGATAGCTGCATGAATGGGTTTTAAAGGGTCAACAGGGTGGCCTTGCAAAGGAGAGAACAGGAAAGAGAACCAGTCCCCTTGGTCAAGATGCTGTGAAGTTCTCCAATCTCCACACATGGCACAGAGACAGAGGGCAAGTGCAAGGAATATCTATATCAGCTTCCTCGTCCTTAGCTTCCAGATTTTCAAATGTACTTACAGTTTATCTCAAATCCCGATGATTTGTTTTGTTACTGTATGATTCTGTTCATATCCAAAATACTCAAATACTCAACAAACAGAACACAGAAAGCCTCTTCACCGCTTTATATGCAGATTCAAAATGTATATATGCCCTTGTTTATAATCACTGAATGCAGTTAGCTATACAGGAGTTACCAAATAGATTACTAAGGGTTTTTTGAGAGAGAAACAGCAGCAGCAAAACCAAAAAGTTCAAGAGCTCTCTACTCAAAGCTGACCTCCCAAAGGCTAAATACCTGCTTGCTGCAACCACAGTTTCAAAATCTAAATTCCACTTCATATCAGATGTTTCTTTTATTTACAACATCCCAGTACTGATGACTCATGTCATTTTGATATATAATGGCTTTAAACCTGAGCAACCTGAAAAATGATTACTCAGGAAGCCCAACTTTTATTAAAGAAAATATCAATGCATGGCTTGGGATAGAAAAGCTTGAAAATATAATCCAAGTGCAGAGCTCTCAAAATCCAGAATGCAAACAGAAAAAGCACATGAGGAAAAAAAGAAAACAACCCCCACAACAACTCGTTCCACCCCAAAAAAGAACCCCAAAACAAACTCATGATTTTATGGGGCTTCAGTCTATCAACAGAATGAGAGTTTGTTCCATTTTCTAAGGCAAACATTGCCAGTCACAAGTCATAAGAGCAACCACCAGCCATTCCATAATGCTCCCCAGTAGCTCATTTTCCTCTTTGGGAGTTTTTACCTTTTCTCGAATATGGAAACATTTTTTCCAGCTTGAATGGTCCCTGCAATAGGTTATTTGAAATGTATATATTAAGGAGCAGCCAAACTTGCACAGGCCTCAACTAATACTGTATTTTGCAACTCTTTTTTTTTTGTGAGTTCACATATTTTTCAGGAAAACCACAGCACTTCAAATTGTATCACTAGAAAGGCAGCTGCTCCTTCCCAGATCAAACGTCTACATATACCAGACTGAAATGTCACAGCTAACTAAGCATGTTATAAATTTAAAGCCTCTTTTTGAAAGAGGAAAGACTGCATGGACAATTCTGAAGTGCTTTTATGAACGCTGTTTAAACATTTTATGAATGCTGTTTAAACCCATTTTACAGATGTTAACTAAGTAGTATGTGACCATTCAAAGACATCTTTTGTACGAGAGATGGGAATTGAAATCAAGTCACCTAAGCTGGTCAGTTTTTGTCCCATTGTCTTCATTTTACAAGATCTTTTTCTTGACCACTCACCTCTTGTGCAAATGACTCTGCTTTCTTCCGCAGGTTCTTTTCCAGTTCAAAGTTTACATGAAGCTCTTCATATTCCTCTACTGCCAGCACAGACACTGTTTTGTAAGAATAAAATGAAATCAGAAGTAGAACTGGGATGGATCAAAAGAAGAAAGTACTGCTTGAATTACTCAGATAAGCTGTTATTTCCTAGTATCATGAATCCTTGAATGAAGGTGTAACCTAGTTTTACATTTCCATATACAGTCCATTTTGCAGTATTTTTCCTGTTTGCTCTAAACCTCAATATATATTGATCTTCTGAATAGAGTAATATTCCTCTACGGTAACAGGCATCATGTAGCAAACACTGTATTTTGCTTCTTTGGCTAAGAGGCCAAGGCCTCAAGAGAGCCTTGCTGAATCTATCATAGAATCATAGAATGGTCTGGGTAGGAAAGGACCTTAAGATCATCTAGTTCCAACCCCACTGCCATGGGCAGGGATGCCTCAAACGAAACCATGTCACCCAAGACTCCATCCGACCTGGCCTTGAACACTGCCAGGGAGATTACTATGTTATTTTGGAGGCACCTGTATTTGCCTGCCAGGTTCAAATAAGGTTTCATGTGTCACTTCACAACAGAGGTTTAAAGACACTTCAAGAAGAAAAGCAGTGCAATTTTGTGTTGCCTGTATTTAATCTGTGCTCACAAAAGCCAGACTCATACAGGTGGCTAAAGCTAACCATGGGGCATGCCTCCCCAGACCATCCAGGACAGAAAGGACTGTTTGTAAGTACTCAAGTATTATTTATTCTTAGTATGTCTCAGTGATCACTTGCACTATCTTCATAAGCTTTAGCTCTTAGTGGCTGAAGACTAGTTTGCAGAGTAATGACACTGGATTTCTAACGCTGTCGAATACAAGCTCCCTGCTCTTTTAGGTGACAAGCATAGCAGCTTTTAAAGCTACATAAAGTGGTACTTTAGATGGTGGGATACACATCCCAGCCCACCTGAATTAGAAAAAGAAATGTCAGAAACTTATCTTCTGCCACACTATCCCATGAAAAGCTGCTTCAAGCTGATCTGTCTAATCATCCTAGCTGAGTTTGGTGTTTTAAGTCTTCAAGTATTGCCAGTCATAGGCCTAAGCAATGCAGACACATGGAAGAGTAAGAAATGAATACTTGATGGAAGCTTACAGGATATGCCTTCCTATATCTTGGCCAGATTCATTGTCTTCCACTTCAAGAAAATATGAAAGAGCCAAGGAGACTTTTAAACAAACAATTATTAAGTTTATAAGGCTAAATAAGAAACAAGAGAAAAGGGCACAGTAATCCAAGGCACTAAAGTCCTTCCCCTCCACTCTGAACTTCTTTTGGGTCAATTATTTTTCATGTGGAAGCACTCATACTCTTAAACAGAAGCTTTTCTATTCTGAGCCATGTGTCTTTTTAGACTTGCCCTGCCCTGGTTTTCTCCCTCATCAATTTCCAGGGAAGTCCCCACTCTCCTTCCATAACTTGGAAATCAGATTTATCTCATTCCTAGCACTCTTGCCTTTTCCTCATCATCATCTGAACATACAAGAGGCTGCTCCCGAATTATTAGCTATGTCCCAACTACAGGGAGGCTGATGTAATGATTTAGGAAAACAGGATATGAAGATTCAAACTCCATCTCTATGAAGGACTGCCTTAGCTTGCCACTTATACCACAGAGCAAAGTATTTTTCTGTTCACACATACAACCAGCTATTTACGCTGCCACATTTTCCTGCAGTAGGTAGAGTCCAGAATAGTCCATGCATTTATGCAGTGCCTGCTCCAATGAGGCTGAGTGTCAGATCTGGACCACAGTGACTGTTCTGTAACCTACTCTGTACTACAACATAAAAGCTCTGAAGCCTCTGCAAAGGATGTAGCAAACTCTTAGAGAACCTGCTGAGACCACACACCTCTGTTACATTTCTCCAACAGTTTTTGCTGCTTATTAACTTCTGATGTCAAAGCAGCTTTTTCTTCTTTCACTTTATTTACCTAGAAAAGTATAAAGAACAAATAAAAGAGTCTTTTAGTCAGTGGCATAAGGCATGTAGCACATACCTAATGCAAGCAAGATTTTGCTTGATGTAATTCTGATTCTTAGATTTAGCTGCTTGTTAGGGTTTCCAGCGGGATGGAAAGCATTTTTACCCCAACCCACAGACCTCACAACAGATGTCATAAAAGGGTTATGAACTAACCCTCCCATGGCCCATTTGCATGGCACGTACCACCCACAGCTGCAAATACAACATCTTTGGAACCTTTCAGGTTCAAGCACCATAGCACCTGGTTGAAAAGTTACTAGCTTGCCCTTCACTGTTTGTGTTTTAATATAGTCAGGCTGCTGTTTTGGTTTTTTTCCTGGGCTCTGTTCATTGTCCAAGAGCCATCAGCTGTGTCTTTCTGAATGCAAGTGCTGCATAGACAGGAAGAGGCACTAAGTCCTGATTTGCATCAGTACATGGCTTCAGGAATGAAACTGCTGGCTCAAAAAGCCAATTTGCTGGTCTAATTACCATGACAGGGCACTGCCAGTGGCTAAACTCAAGGATATGCTCAATGAAGTAGCACCAGTGATTAAACTGGACATCCTCCAAAAGTATTTCTTGCACATCTACAGGTTTAAGGAAATCCAAAAAAAACCCTGCAGGCTGTATGGGAGAGGGGCTGTCAGGAAAAGGACATGAGAGTTGTAATATGGGTGTTAGAACAGATCATGAGAAGTCACGAGCCAACAACAGCAGCAGACTGGACTCTTGACACAGAAGGCCCCTTCTAGGTGTGTGCCCTAAGTGGTCCATCATATGGGAAGGCTGGCAGGACTTGCGATTAGATAGTATTCAATTAACTTCACAACTGAGTGGTTTTAGCAAAATTAGATACAAAAAGTACTGACTACACACTAATGTGGTCTCGCCTTCCATGGTACAATACATACTTCTTCAATTACTTCTACAAGTTTGCACCTCAGGTTTTCCAGTTCAATGGCCAAGGTCTTCTTTTCCTCATGAACAGATACGATTTGATCTCGCAGCTCTACAGTTTGAGGAAAGAAATGAAAGATATATCTTACACTTAGAAGAAAACAACAAAGGCAATGTCATAGCAATGCAAGTAGAATCAACTATGAAACAACCTAACTGCATACAAAGCACTAGTTGCATTCAAGGCATGTCCTCAATAATTTAGGAACTTTGCGTAAGTGTCAAGTAACAGATATAACTAAGCCCCAGTTTCAGATTTACTTTATTGAGGTAAGCTGCCCTGTTCAGTACTGCCACCTTTATTTGCATTCTGAATGATTTATTTCCTGCTACAACAGGGCCAATCCTGCCACCACAGTGTCCTCAGCCCTACTCAGGAGACTGGCACATCCCAGAGACTCTGGTATGGAGGTAGCAGAAAGCTATTTTTAATAGGCATCCTTTAAAATGAATTAATGCACTTCAGTTCTTTTTGGATCATGAGTTCTTCTCACAAGGGAAATAAACAAAACAACAGGCAGTTAATACTTGGGAGGTTTTCACTGAAGAAATTGTCCTGAACAGCTGCCAATTTATAGTCTTTGTAACATTCTGTGAACAGAGGCAGAATAGAACCTTTACTGATGGAAGAGCTAATGCTTGTAATTTTCCCCTCAGAATTTTTTGTTCCTTAATTATCAAAATATGAAATAAATTAAATTCACAATGGAATCAAACATTTGATTATAATCGCTTCTTAACAGGAGATCAGTTTGCATACATATCAAGGTTTAGGTTAACATAAAAACACCACAAAAAATATAAATGTATTGATATATATTAGCTTCCAGTAAGTGCTCTCATTCCCCACCTGCTTCCAGGATTTCATAGCACTGCTGTTCATTGAACAGCAGCCAGGAGTTGAGACAATCGTTGCTAATCAATTGCAGATGATGATGACCTACTGGATGTCATTCTGTTTGGTATCACATCTTGAAAATGTTGATTCTACCCCAGCCCCCTTCTCCCAATTCAGGAGCCTCAGATTTATTTTCCTCCAAATTACAGGCACACACATTATAAAGTAAATAGAAAGACCTGTTTTCCCAGAAGATTCTTGAACCAAATTGTCTGGTTTATGGATTTGTGCTTTCCAGTCAAACTAATGGAGGGAAAAGTCTCACTGACACTTATGGTAACTGGATTAAGGCAGGTCTTACAATACATATATCAGCCTCATTATCCAGAAAAAGCAGCATATCCATAGAGCATGAAGAGCCTCAGACTGTACAACCTTATTTGTATATCCTTACAGAAAAGTGGTGGGAGGGAAGGAATCATTCCAAGAAACATGCAGTATTTTGTTGAATGGTAAGAAGGCTAAAAGACTTCCAAGATCCCCAACATGCCACATTCTGTTCTTTGATGAATTCTTCATCAAGACAGAGAACATGTGCATCAGAGCCTTTCTCAAATATTTATCCAGTTTGACCCTGCTACCCTCCTAACCACGTTCTCCTCTGATCTGCAGCCAGAGTCTGTGCTGTCTTTAAATGTATCCTTGACATCTTTCTCCAATAAAAGACAGGAGGAACTCCAGTGTCTTATTTCAGGTTCAGATGGGTTGTATGGTGCGGATCACACCCTTCTCTGCCTTTTTTCCTACATCTATAGGATGGAAATCTGCTTATTATAGAGGGGTACTGTGACATCTTATTTCTTAGATGGGATTTCTTCAAAGCATTTTTACAACACTTTTTTTTCTCAGTGATGCATTGTACCACGTCACTGAGGCTGCTGCATTCAAACAGAAAACAATTAACAAGGTCAGGCTGAAAGTTCAGGAACACTGTTCTTAGACTTCATTTGCTGTTGTAACTTACTAGCAGAAAGAAGTGAAAGCTTTTTTTCTTAATAAAAACAAAAATGAACCATTTCTCTCTGTCACCAAATGTGAACATTCCCCTTTTTGGATGCTGTCATGTAACAACATACACAACAACTTCATCACAGAGTTAGATGAGAAAGGAAGGCAGATTTTGGGTTACAGAAATAGGAACTGCCTCTCAAAAGAGCCAGAAATTTCTTTATAAAGCACAGATTTCTCTTATCAATGTATTTCCATGTATACCCAGTACAACAGCTCCTTTTTAAGTTGCTTGTTTTGTAACAGCTCTAGAACATGAATGAAGTTTGTGCATACAAAGGTACATAATGGAAATAGAAGTGGAGACTCCTGTATTACAAGTTCTGCAATAGTGACATTGCAGTTGAAGCAATACTAAGGTGACCTTGTCCTTCTGCTGAACATTTACTTTGTTAGGGATCTGAGGAAATATTTCTTTACCAACTCGGTAACACTGAACTCAGCTGTGAGCTCATTTTCCTGTTGCATTGTAACCTACTTTGCAGGCTGTATACCCACCATATACAGAACACAGCATCACTACAAGCCTATCATGTTCTTACAGTCTCCTGGAAATCCTTTGATGACCACTCTCAGCAACATGAACCGGAGCCAGAAGGATCAATCTCTGGTCCAAACCAATACTGCCATTCCTTAGGCAACTTTTGCTTTGTATGGTGGTGTGGGCTCAGCAGCAATACTCACCTTTTATTTGCTGCTGACAATGCACAGAATTGCATGATCCAGAGTTAGCTTCTGTATCTGTGGATGAATCATCCTCATCAATGTTAATCTCTTCGGTGATAATATCTGGGCCCAGTTTTGCCATATAAAGCATACTAATTCTTTTCAAGGTCTTATTCTCTTTGTTCAGCTGGAAGTTGAGAAGCACAAACAGTAAGAAGCTAGTTAGGCTGTCTTTAAGCTGCTGTGCAAATAAAAGAAAGGCAACTGTATTTTTTTCTCCTTTATCATTAAAAAAAACCAACTATGAAAAACACAACAAAATAACATTAGATTAAATGCTTCACTCAAAATTAAAATTGTCTGAAGATGGAAAGCTTGTTCACTTTCTCCTCTGAGGAGGCTTGAATTCAACACAATGCTTCATCCATGCCCTTCTTTCCTCTCTGGTACTTCTGATTAATAAATACCTTGTGCAGGTTCAAATCAAATCAAATCAACTATCAAGCTTACTTACTGCTACGCATTCTTTGTGATAGCTGCTTCAAATACTTACTTTTAAGCATGTACCAGCACCAAAGAAGCCCCAACTGAATGGCCTGAAGAAGGCCTTGTGCTCCTGAAAGCTTGTCTGGTTTTGCCAGCAATATCAAATATACTGGTCAAATAAAAACTCCAACCTCCTTCTATGCCTTTATTAAACAACTACAACCATTATACTCCCAGACACACACACAGAATTACCTCAAAATTCTTTTGAATTTTTTAATTTTTAGGAATTACTACTGTAGAGTCAATGTATGCAAGATGCCATATTATAAACCAATTCTTTATGGGTCAAACCACAAGTCAGAAACCACTCTGTGCTGGATGCTTCAACACATGGATGATACAGAAGAGATTTTTAAGGCATCTCCACCTTGGTTAAAGTGCCAGAAAGAACTGAACAACAGGGATTGTTGCAAATGTTTCACACTCTCCATTTCTTTCACTGTCCTGCATATAGACACCCCATGCCAGTAGCTCTCGGTGAGCTCTGCACAGTCTCAGAGGTGTTCAGGCATATGCTGGGGTGACTGCCCACCCACCAGCCAAGCAATCCCTGTATTCAGCTCTAAGAATGAGATTCCATTTTCTGCTAATGACATACAACATGCCAAAGCCAACATGCACCTTAGAAGTTCAATATTTACCTTCAAATAAAACATACTGTACAGTTAACCTGACCCTGCATTTATAGCTGAGAAATTACCTTTGATCCCCTTTTCCTCAGCCCCCAACTACAGGAGCTTTACTTGAGAACTTCTTCATCTCATTCCCAATGCATGAAACTGAGAAAGCAGGAAGGGTGATGTGAGGAACATTACATGGTTTAGTCAGCTCACATCAACAAACACATGAGCTTTGGCAAAGCATCCCCCTGGGGTAAACCTAGTCTTTGAGCTGCCTCTACATGTGCATTACAGGAAAAGTGCAGAGAAGAAGAAAAGTTGCATAAATACGTTCATTTTCTTACTTATATGCTGATTGTCTATCTTATGAATTCTAATATAGTGTCATTATGCAAACAATTAAGTAAATACCTCCACAAAGTACATTGCTAATGCATCTAAATTAAAGTGATTTCTTGCTGGTGTGATTTTTACCATTTCTAAAGATGTACTCTGGGCAGGGGATGGGGAAGGGGGGTAAAGAAGAAGGGAAAAAAAAAGCAGTCAGCATTGCTAATGAAATTTGGTTCAAAATTGCTGTAATCCATTTTCTGATGAAGTGGCTCAGATGCATTTTACACAACCAAAAATATATAAGAGAGATAAAAACATTCTTTAATAATAATGCACTTCTGATGAGATGGAATATAGAAAATTACACACTTGCTAAATTCATCAGACTAGACGCAATCAACAGAGCAGTGGAGGTCACCTTTCCCCTGCCCTCGCTTTGCTTTCACAAACAATCACCTGAAATGTAATGCAGTGGTTGACTTTTTCCATTTGATTTAGACATTGAAATGCTCATTATGGTTTTATATCTCACACAGGACAGTTCTAAAACTTGTTTTCCATTTAACCTAAATGCATATAAAAACTAGATATCTAGATGCTGGTCCATGACTTATTGTTCCAAAATAGAAAGTAAATTAAAACAGGTATTTTTTGGTTTCTTTAAAGGTAGGAATTGTATTTTGCATCTCGCTTATGGGTTTTGTCACTTCAAAACCATTTCAGAGATCTGAAAGACTATACAAAAATATATATGGCACATGTGTACAATTTCAAGCTAGAAAAGAAATGAGATGAAACAGAATCAGCATAATTCTTCTCACCTTAGAAGCCAAAGCCTCAGCACTTTCACGGCACGTCTTCTCAATTTCAAGATGGTTCTGAATACAGTTTACTTCCTCAATAACCATGTGAGAAACTAGGGGAAGAGTTTAGGAATTAGTCAGTATTTTCCTGCCTTTGACATATGCATCCCATGATCAGAAATACATCATCTTTTTCTGTTAACTTTGTATGGAGGCATTGCAAATACAGGGAAGTACATCCTTAGATAATCTCCACGGATGGGAACTGTTTTGAACACTGAATATACAGTTCATTGCTTTAAGGAACTCTTCCTAGCCATGTCTGCAGTATTAAAGGGAGAACTGGAGAATCAAACATAAACTCATGAAAGCAGAAAGGCAGTAGGACCCTCCCTGACAATCATCATTCATCATCTTTATTTCATTAACATTCAAGGAACCACAGTGAGACCATTAGGATTTGGTATGGATGCCAAAGAAGATTGGAACCTTTGTATTTTTAAACAGCAAGATTAACTCAGGTGTGTTACAGAGATTATTTTCACCTTCTGGTCTTCAGGTTTATATAGTGTTTACATATCATCACACTTGCTAAACGTACTATACCAGAAGAGCTGCAGGATGGACATACAGCACAGGCCTGGGTGAGTTTAATGGGAAATGGAGAAAGGAATTAAGTGACTGAAGCCTCCATATTCACAGAGCCTCCTATAGGATGTGCTCCAATGAAGTCAAATCATTACCACAGCACAGTTCCTTCATCTCTTCCTTCTGCCCCATCAGCTTTGAGGCTACCTGCAGCAGCTGGGATAGACCCTAATGGATGCAGTCCTGATGGAAACTCAACACTGTTTGCACTGCCTGATTTTTGACAATCTTGGCTAAACAACCTAAGTTCTATATTACTACATGGATGTAGTGTCTGAACTGTTTCTTATTTGAAGCCTCTCTGTGCTTGAGCATGCCCTAAAATAAGCACTGCATCTGAAACACACGGCAGTGCTACTACGTTTGATGTCACAGCTGGAAGAGCAAGAAAGCACATCTGTCCTTTGCACTTACAGAATCCCTATTACTGCAGTGGGTACCCATCACCATGTTGAAGAGACACGGTATTGTTAAGAGTGACCAAAAAGTTATGGATCAAATCTTATTTTGTAACATAGCACAGCAAGGAGAGTTAAGAGGAAATTTAAAAGCACAGACGGATTTTGGCTTGCAATTCCCCTCAACTTCCAGCAGCACACAGGTACTTTACTAGTGAAAGTCTTCTAAGTGACAAGCAAAAAAGCCAACACTAGTTCCCTTTTCTCAGGCTAGCACCTCGCTCATTGTTACAACTCCTCCTTGGCTCCTGGCACCCTGAACCACCCTAAGCAGCAGCCAGGACCCTAATTCTGCAAGTTATTTCATGGTGCAGACTCCTCCTCAGCCCAGTGTCAGGATTTCGATGTGCAGAAAGACTATTTGCACGTGAACAATGCTTTGGAGCGGGAACAAGGCTGGAAGAATACAGGGTAAATCTGGAGGACTTTTTCTGGCATCTCCTTTCATTTTCATGAAGATAAGCTTTAAAACATAGTGAATTTATACCACTGCGTAGAATATCCCCCTTGCCCTCTTCCAAGACTTCTGCCTAAATACTGAAGATAGATACTCAAGTCCTCTTTGATATCCAGAGGTCATCTTCACAACCATAAAACACAGGTATAGGAAAAAGCAGGCCATTAACAATGCTTATTTATGCAGCTTTACAGATACTTAGACAATATTAACTAACATTTTTGTTAGTAACATGGGAAACCAGCAATATATTGGAATTTGCTATTAAAGCAGTAGCTGCATGCAAGAAACAAGTTCTACACAATACAAGCAGACAAAAAAAAAGCAGGGCAGAGTACTGGGAATCCTTGGTCCACACACTATATTCACATAAAGTTAGCAGAACCACCACAACTCTTTCTTTGGTTGTCTTCTTATTTCCATTTTTTCTGATGTTGGAGAAATTACCTGCTGTACCAGCTGCTCCATGAAACTGGAGTGAGGAAAAGCTTCAGGTAGTACATGTCCATATCTCTTTTGGGTTTATTCTACCTAACTCTGGGACTTCGGAGCAATGAAGTGCTTCAGGGAGGATGAGGAAGCAGTGGAGCTACAGAACTGCTCCCATTTTACAGACAGGAATCTAACAGCCTCAAGCAAGGCTAAAGTTAGGAAACCAGGATTGGGCTCACACAGCAGAACTAGGGATTACTCTTGCTTCATTTAAACTTAATTAACCTGCAATTATGATTAAC